ACTTCTTGGGTTTTTAAACAGCAGTCAACATACAACACACCTTGGCTACATACCATTATCAAGACCTGGTTGTTAAGACATCGAAAATACAACTGTTTGGCAATTCTGTGATTGCTCATTAAACCTAAGGAGTGGAAAAATATCAAACAAATTTCAGCAGTTTGCAGCAAGAATAGTAAAAAAAAAACAAAACAACAGGTATTATAACATAAAACTCAAAGATTCTGTTAGTGGATCCAATGAAGGCAGACTCTTCAGTGAAGAAAAAGTCACAGAATGACAAAGTAGCTCACCATCCCTATCCTCCAGCTTAAACAAAGAGTTTGAATACAGGAAAAGTTTGACCTACTTTAGAGTTTGTAACCTATTGCACAACTCCCAGACTTTTTCCACAAATTAGGTGGCTGTTACCTCTCAGTATGCTGACAGTAAGACTTGGAACACCAAGACATTAAGAACATAGACCAGGATGCTCACATTAATGAAGTACATAGGCTCAGTATGTACTGTGCCCAGGCAAATTATACTACTTGGTGCTTGGGACTGATCACATGGCACTTCACTGCAATGTATAACAAACACTACTTGGCTAAATGGAAATTGAAACCCATAAAAACAATTCCTTCAGTCACAGTAATCGGTACTGAAAAAAAATAACCTGTGACGTTCATCATTTTTGAGGTGGAACACCCTGGCACTGCCTAACACTTCCACAGACACATCCATAACCCTTCTGCACTCTATGTCCCATTTGGGCTGAAGTTTTAACTGGCAGTATTCCACAACTCTGTTTTTCAGCTCACAAATCTTTGCGTTCAATGAGAGCTTCATTTTAAAAAGCAGCTCATAATTCTGAGCAACAATGATGAGATACTTTAGTTTAGCTTCCAAACATATTGAGTTCTTTAAACATGGCTTGCACTGGGAAGTGAATGAAAAAAAATTTCAAGACAATACACATTCAATACCCCTAAGAACTGTCCAGCAGCTCAAGAGGACAAATGCACAAATCACAAACCATTCACTCCCTGCATGCAGCCAGAGCTGCTCTTTCAAGGAACAGATCTTCCCTACCCATTTACCTTTGCGGAGCAATATATTTCCCACTGTAAGAGCTCCCACAGCATTCCCTAGCAGTTCTATCATTTTCATTTTGAGAGAAATTACTAACTCATGGGAGGACACAAACCCCAGTACTGCTTGCCACATCCTCTATTGCCAGGAGCTTTTTCTGAACAGGAGTCCACCAAGAAGAATATGCAGCCTGCCATCACACGCACAGCAGCACTCAGCTGGTTCTGCTGAGCAAGCTGCCTGCTGGTCTCAGAGAGAATGAAGAACTATTTGTCTCACTTCACAAAGACTAAGAAACCACTCAGACACAGCACAAAAGAGCACCCTTATTAGAATAATGTGAATCACAAGCTGTGCATGTATTTAAGAGCTGTACCAAATTTTGCATTTGGTTTGGCCAGTTAACTGAAAAACAAAGTGGATTTGGTCCAAACAAATAGTTATTTCACTCTTCCTTGTAGACAATGTTTTATTTTTCCTGTCTGCTGCCAAAGCGTTTACTGCAGACACCAATCACACAGGGCAAGGACTATGAAAAAAAGAAGGGCAGCATTTCCCTTTTGTCCAACAGTAGGACGCTCGCAGGGATTAAGAAAACAAATTCATATCCTTCCTTTAAAGTTTAGCTCTATGTTTTACCCTTTCAATGAGAATAACTTCCGCAAGCAAATTACCATCAAACTTTACTGCATTTGGAACAAGTTATTATTATACTCCCTTTGAATTATGTCATGCAAAGCAAAACGCGAGCAAAGCAAACTTCCACACAATATTCTGTGATGCACAACTTTGGCCTCTCATTCCAAGGTGATGATTAGAGGGCACTGAATCTGGGTTTTTCACATCTCTGGAAAACAAATAGTTTAAACCACTCGGTGGATTCACAGATTCTCACTTAAATCCACTGCAACTATATTTTTGGCACATAAAGCATATACATGGAGAGTGCATGAAAATAAGATCACTCAGTAAGTATAATTTCTAGGTATTTAAGCAAGGCCATCAGTACAAAACAGTTCTCAGCAAGGCACTGGTGACTGGCAATTACAAGGTTTAATTCAAGAACTGAAGGCAACAAAATCTCTTCCATACTTCAAATAGCTGTGCATGGAAAAACTTGAACACACCAAACTATAATCCCATAGGCCTCTACAGCTCTGCTCCAGCTCCTGATTGGTAAGACTGAAGCCAAGTTTCCCTCAACTGTACCCAGCTCTTTGAGAGTCACAATATAACAAAGATCAGCTGTAGTTGATTAACTTGGGCTCCTGGAGGGAACAAGAGGAGTCTTGTCACATACAATACTTGAGACTTGTGAAGAGAAGCCGCGAAAACTAGCAAGTGGTGTTGACTGGCAAAGCTACATGGGGAAGCAGGCATTGGCACTATTAAAAAGAAAGGCTAATTAAAATGGAAACCAAGACTAAGCAGAATTTCTCATGTCCTTTCTTTCAACAGCAGCCTCAACACGCTACAGCAAAAGACATGAAGATGGCCTTTCTCCAATCATATCCATGTCATACTTAGTCCATTCCTTTGCTAGCTTGGTTGAAGTCATTCTGTTTCTTCTGCTTTTAACTTCAAGCTACATTAAGAGCACTCCTGCTCCCAAGCCATCCAGAGTCCCTTGGGAAACCTGCATGTCATCCAGGACTCAACGTTGTCAAAGAAAGCCATCTCAGTGCTCAGTCTTAAACTGCTGCCTGACAAATCCCATTCTTCCCTTCCTTGCAATCTCAACTCCCCCCTTAAGCCCCTCCTACACTTAATTTATACTCATCTCAAACACAGCATAAAAGACTGAAAGGCACAGCATACACAAATGTTAAGTTTCAGTAGGCAGAGTCAACAAACCTGACCTCTTGGCATTAGGAGCTGTATGGTGACTTGTCAACAGCTGCTGAGATTTGTCAGCACTTTAAGGTGACCTGCAAATGTAAGCTGAGGGGTACTGACTTGAATAATGTGTTTAATGCTCAAGTAACCTGTATAAAAGCGGTATTCTAGCCCATAATTATTATATTATTAAGGTTGCAGGCTTCCTTGAGCTAGAATACACAAAGCAACGTCATGGAGAATGACACGAATCACTTTATCAAGAAAATTCTTACTAATCACATAGCTGACTTAGAAAATTTAAGCAGAAAAATTATCTATTACTTTCTTTTCTAATCAGCACACCACAAAATAAGCATCAAACAGTTCTACGGGAGGGAGCCAGGTTAAGCAATACACACTTCCAAGCACAAAAAAGGGGCTGCAAGCTTCCTACACAAGGAAAGAACTATTCAAGGAGCCAAGTGCAGACAGTGAAGCTACTGGAAGCACGAGCAGAACTTGCCATAGATTGCCTTAACAGGCATTTCAGCATCTGACCGTGATGTTAGCAGCCAGTTCTGAGATAATCAGCTTTTCTTACAAGTCTATATTCAAGCCCAAGGGAATAGCATTTGAAGAGATATTCTTTTTTTTACATTAAAACAGGAAACTAGAAAGCAGATATCTAATTGATGAGTTTAGTCTGACTCCTATATTAAATAGGGAATTTCTATAAGCAGGGATTTCAGTGGTTTGTGTTGTGCCACTGCGTGCGGTGACTTGTACCTAGAAGCCATAGTCTAAGCTGAACCTGACTACCTAGCAAGACCCCATCTCAAGCAAAAGAGAATACACTTCCTGACCAGTTTCCACTTCTTGGCCTCCTTTACTGTCAAAAAGCACAATCTCGAGGAGAAAGTGGAAAAAAATGCAAAAAGATGGATTCCAAATTCCATTTTTCTTATTTCTCATAGCTCAGGCTAGAGAAGGACATCAAATGCAAACACGGCTGTAGGACAGAAAGCATTAAAACAACTGAGGAGCTTCAGGAGATGTCAGATAGCCATTGTAGTAATCACTAACACTGATCTCAAAGCATTAATTCTCTAAGTTTTCATGATGAGTACAAAAAAGAATAAGGCCATGCTGAGATTTACTGTAGAACTGAGAAAGCAAACAGCCCTAAAGAAATATACAAAGGTAGAGCAGAAAGGTCACTATTGCATTCCACACCATCTCTCACATCTGGATACTGGATTGAGGATATCCCAAACCCAACAAAATCACAGAAAACTCAGTGCCTTGAGTCAGCGTTTTATGCATGTAAGGCTTCACAACAAGATCCTCAACTCCCACTTAGAAATGAACACTCAGCAATCCTTACAGCCAAACATTCTGTATATCTACTAGAGCAGTTTCTAGACAGCATCAGCCAAATGAACACACAGGAAGTAATGAAACCTCGAGAAACTCTACTGTAAAATAAGAATCAAGTTAGACAATCCTCTGCTTTTCCCAGACTCCTCATAGTCTCTGTAGCTTTCCTCTATAGTGAAAGTAGGAAAACTTTTTTGTTGTCAAGTTCTCACACAACCTTAACACATTACAAACTGTTGAGCGCAAAGTCTAAGAATAAAAAGTCAGTGTTGTCCACAGCCTAGGCTGAGAAAGCTGTGAGTTTTTTGATCTCTATACAGATCACTACGGTAACATGAAGCAGCACATACAGCTAGCTTCATAAAAAAGATAACTGGTATCTTCAGCAAGTAAGCTCCCTGAAATTGCAGGCTGTTTTTCCTACTATATTTCTATTTTACCTCCCCTAAGATTACAAGCATTGCCCACAAGTCAGCACAAACGATTTTCACCTAGATAGGAAAGTTATTTTTAAAGACTCTATCAACAGTGTAAGAGAACCTAGCAATAAAACTACTAGGAACTGCGTTATTTTAGACTTTCATTTAAACCTGCATCTCAAAAGATTATCTAAATGATAGAAGTTGAGAGTGGTGAAGAAGTTCCCTGGTAAAGAGAAAATGAATTCAGCATCATGATGTAAGACAGCTTTGCTGCCACCTGCTGAATGTCCACCTTGGAACAAAACATACCTAGGAGTGCAGTGAGTTTGGGAAGCAGACCAACTTGCACCATTTTATTTCTCAGGCTCGTGTCAAAGGAGAGATTCAGTAAGAGTCGGAGGGTGATGTTCAGTAGGTCTTCATGTTCACAAGGTACCATTTTCACAAGCTTTTCAACAATATCCATTTCTACCTGTATATAAAGAAAAATCCATAATCCATCCTAACACAACTTTATCTTCAATTATCTTCAAAGGTGACATTTCTACACTTAACAGTAACTGTCAATGCATTTTTATGTGAAACAGGTTCTCTTATGCCTTCATGGTTAAAGCCTTCTGGATTGGTTTATTTCATCAAGTTGATTTAAAAAAAATTGAAACAGTTCAGACATCTTAGAAATATACCTCAACTGGAATACTATAAGAATATAATCTAAGGGCATCACTTGGAAGATGAACTTGGGAAAGGGGAATGGTTAACCATTTAAATGGGAACAATCCTACAGCAACTGATATTGAAAGTAAGGGAGATGCCCAACCAAAAAAGACAGAATCTGCATCCAAAAAGAATCTGAGATCTTTAATTATGAATTTAACATGAACCCCTAGACAGAACTTTCACATTCTCTCACATGTATCACCTTCAAATCAAGAAGTGGAATCCAGGAACTGGGAATTGCTATCTGTTCCTGAGATCCTGTCCACCACATCAGTCAGAAAAGGCATCTGAGCACTGAATGGCAAGACTTCAGAAAGTTTTTGTTGTTTTTAAACATCATTTATCTGCTTTTATTTGACACAATCTTTTGACAGCATTCATTCTCTCCTGGAACCTTCCTTGGCCAGGAGGAGGAACATAAAAATAAGCTTTTGCAGGGACATAATTAGCACTCCAGTTATAAATACACAGAGGATTAGTTCCAAGAAAAGAAACTACAGCTCTCCTCACATGGCATAGTGCAATAACCAAACAACTGGATCCTTTTGATCAGAAACCATCAGATACCAAGAACTCCTACTTCGCTGCTTTGAATTTAATACTGCATTTGAATTCCAAATGAAAGAATGTGCTATAAATAAGTGGATTACTTAGCTTTACTTAGAATCAGACATTGCACAATTGCCTTAGCTTATTTCACCTTCAATATTTGTGTATTACAGCCTAATAAAAATGAGAACATCTCCTTCATAGGTACCCTTCCTTCATAATACTCAGGGGAAAAAAAAAAGCACACATCTTTTATCAGAAAGATACTCATGCAGATGACTTGTTTTGAAAAAACTTTTTAAAAGATTTGCATGCTACATTTCAAACACTCCGCAATAAAGTAAACCCAACAATTTTGTTTCATTTGTCTTTCTGCTGAATCAAATAGAATGTTCAAAGCACGCCAGCAATAAGCAGGGCTGTAATCCTTATTTTCCTAATAAAGTCCCTCAGGGCACCAGACAGCTATAAAATAAATAAAAGATTGATCACCTGGTAAATAATCTACATTATCTTATTTTCGTTAAGAAATAGGATAGTTGTATATAAATACAGGAGATGCACTCTGTCAACAGTATTTAGTGCTTAGGCAAGCGTGTAATAGAGTTCCAGTAACAAAGATGCAATTAATTTTCTATTACACAGATCTTTTCATCTCTCACGTCTGACATTAATCTCAGATTACCTCTTGGATAAGGAAAATTTATCATTTTTATTTCAACAACTGTATAAAAGCACAGAAACAAAGGCGGGCATCTACTAAAATCCACTGGGAATTCAGTAAATCAGATACTTGCCTGGAGCATAAGGAAGCTTTCTTCAGGAAGAAAAAAAAATCCTACAATTTCAAAAGTTTCAGATTTCAAAAGTTTAAGAAAAACATCATGGCTTTAAATTCTTGTGAGGTATTGGCAGCATAAAGGAACAGTTCTGAGGTGCCCTTGAAGGCCAAAGTAGTCTAGCAGACTGTAAAAAGATAATTCTCTTTCCAAGACAATCCTTGGGATAGTCAATATCATACAAGTGTAATTCAGGGGAAGGATCATGGACATCTCCAGAAGCACAGGTATGACAAACTCTGGAAAGATAACTTAAATTTGGAATTCCACGTATTTAGTTTCACTGTTTGGAATAAGAGCGCATCAAGATTTTTTTCTAGCACATTGCAGCTTAATGCTTTATTTCCTTCCTTTTACTCATAATGAAACAGGATAATCAGGGCCAATTAGAGTGGCAATAGAGATACCCCTTTCTCCCAGCCATACAAAGTTCTCAGACACTGTGCATAATTTTCTGATGTTGCAGTGGAGTGCTGTGGACCTTACCATATCATTTTTGTTCTCCATGAAAATGCTGAGTTTCTTCAAGAAAGATACAACCAGGATAAGCAGCTCAAAATTATCACGATCCAGAGCTTTCACTAACATGTGGACAATGTTCTTGTTTCTCATCTTCAGCTCAGTGCGAGTATCCTCCGCAAGATTCAGGAGCAGGTAAAGTGCAACTAATAAATTCAATACAAATCATACCAACAGGTCAAAGACAATGGAATTACCTGAGTTTCTACATACACATTAAGTACTTAAGACAAGATTTTCAGAAGCATTCCGCTCCCTTCCTAATGCATTTTAAACAAAACTGACCATAAATGCTTTTTATTCCTACTTAGAAAACAAAATTATGATTTTTAACAGTAATTTTATAAAAATTAAAATCATTAGATTTATGACCACTAGAAGCATTTTATTTTTTTTTTCCTTTTAATTACAATGGAAGTCAGTAAAAAGCCTTTCCAGGATAGCCTTGCTACTCCAGACCATCTCAGTCTGACATTAAAGTATATTTGAATACAGAAACTGAGACATTATTCAGACACAGGCCAACTTAAAAATAGACAATAAATCTATTAAATGTAAAAAAGAAATTACGACCATTAAAAGAAACAAAAAAGTTGAACACTTTCTGTTTTCTTCAAGACTAACAGATCACTTTACAAAATTGTTAACATGCTGTTGCACATTCTGATTAAGTATTTGTCTTCTCTCTGTTCTTCTGTCAAGCCCTTCCACGTTCATTCACACATTCAGTATGTTTAAGCTGCCATGCTTATAACAATCATTCAAGAAAACTCTCTACCCATATTAAGCAATAATTTGGTTTCTATACCTCTGAGTAGCTGCTCCTGCTTGACAACTAGACCCTGATATTTCTTGTAGGTTTTCTCATAGTCCTTCTTCAAGGTTTGATTTTCAGGATCTTCATCAAGTAAATTGCAGAAGTTAAGGAGTTCAGACGGAAGTTAAACAGTCTGGATGACTGCTGTCCTCAGTAGAAAGACATTATCTCCCCAACAACTCACTGCCATCTGCAGTACTTCTTCCCCCCCTATTCCTGGGTATAATCTATATGCCCATATACTCAGCAAAAATACTCCCAGGACACACTGCTCATACAATAATATACTTGCGTTGTTTAATAACTTCAGAATGATCTCTTCAATAGCCCAAGCTTCTCACAATCCTTCTCATATCTACAATTATATTTTGCAATTCTATTTTTTTTTTTTTTTTTACTGCTTTCACAGTAATTACTGTATGCTAATCACATGTAACTCAACAACACCTACTAATACAAGGCAAGAATCATCAAGCTGCCCCAGCCCATCAAAAGGATATCAGCTTTCTTCTTTTTAGCAAGTTCTTCCTGCCAAAGCTCATGTCTCTTCAGCTCATGGTCTATGATGTTCATACACAGAGCTCCAATTTTGTAGTGTGTGATTATGCCATGAAATTGAGAAAAACTACATTGAAGAAGGAAAGAAGTAAATGCAAACAACCTTAAAACTGTTCTGACATCTAGGATAGCAAAGTTCCAATGCTACTCCACCTGATTATGATTAAAAAAATAGCTACTCGCTTTCTGCAATATTATAGAGTGTTTCTCTCTGGGAAATTACTTCAAAACAATGATCCAAAACATAAATACTCTTTTCAAGTTTTCAAAAGCACAAGAAAGCATCTTGCACAGTCAAGATAACACAAAACAGTTATCTTGACAAGATAAGCAAAACAGTTAAGAGGAAAAAGTTACTGCAGTAGTAAGTACTTCAAGGCATGAACTTAAAATATAAAATAGAAATACAGGTCTTGTATTTTTGATCTGACATTACAGTCCCAAAGAGAAATTCTTTCTTCATACAGGATGAAACGCAGACATCTCCATGTGTTATTCCAAGTCAGAATAACAATGCATTCTAATTTTCACGCATACAGGAAAACGTTTTCCAGTTAACCTCAGTTCTCATGCTGTAGGAGCTATAGAGAATCTTCTACTCACAAGAACTATAACAGAGACCCAAAATCAAGTTGCAAAGCAAATGATACACAGGGTATGCTGGAATGCTGGCATATCCAATAAGAGCAGTTTTGAATACCGTTTTTTCCCTGTGAGACATGCTGAAGGAAATAGAAGATTGTAGCAAGGCATCTTACCTACAGGTCAAAATCCTTATTAGCTTTCTCCCAGCTCAACTACAAAGCACCTCACCAAGGGGATTCTTTCTGTGCCTCAATTTTGCCATTTAACAGGCGTTATTAAATCAGCAATATTTTGCCCCTGTTTCAGTAAGGTTTTGTAGCACAGTGCAAAGAAATGAAAAGTAAGCAGAGAAAAAAATGTTCCTTATCTTCCTATACACAGAGACTCTGAACTTACCTTGAGAAGCAAAAGAAAATATATATTATATTGGTAGCAAGTTCCACACTTTGTTTCCAGTCTTCTCGCAGCACTCTAGCCAATGCACCCAGGGCCGTTTCTAAAGCAAAACAAGAGTTAGATGAGCACCAGCATCTCACATCCCTCTTTTTCTCTTGAAAGACAAAGTCTGAATGCACTTTATTCTGCTTGTCTTGTTGTTCGTTTGTTTAAGCAGAAGCTTTTCAGAGTTCTCTCACTTTAACAGGTAACACTGCTCAAAAAGTTCTGCTTGCAGATGGTACATACAGCACCCTGACTGGCCATCCACTAGCATCGAGAAGAGGTGATAAGAAAGGACAGTGAAACCAAACATTAACACAGTCTTAAACCTACTATCGGCTTTGAAATGCTGTGACCTCTACCATCCGTGCATTCCATACTACACTTTGGCTCCTAGTGACAAAATCAACACATCCACTTTCAAATTCTATTTCAGTTCTGTCTTAACAACTGTCGCTTTTTCCATTCACTGCTTTCTATTTCTTTACACCCATCCCAATTCTTGCAATAATCTTACTTATGGACTTTGTAGGATGGGCATAGCACATTCATTGCTGTAATGCTATAACATGATGGAAAGTACAGCAATAGCAATGGGGTGGCACAATCCTAGACTGCAGCAAATGAGAACAAGCCCAAACACAGCAGCTGTGGACATCAAAACAAGGGAAGAAAAGCTACTTACCTTTGGAAGGCCTCAGGTAGGCAAGGACCTTCAGCAAGATACCCTTACCTTCACTGCCAACCCTTAAAATGAGGTCTGGGAAAGGGTGGATCCTGGCTGTATCCCTTCCACCCCTCAGGTGCACTGTATGCACCTGAGCTCCCCTGGGTTGGCCCTGCCTTCCTACCAGGTGCTCAATCACTGCTTCAAGCCATGACTTAGCTTTTCCACTACAATCACTTAATGAATGTGAGGACAGAAGAATCAATAAAATACACATGGGAGACAAGGAAGGAGAGAACTAAGTTTACAAGACATGAGCCTATCATCTGTTTCAAAGTCTGGTTTGGACTGAGTGCATCTTCTGTTTGTCAGACTCACCTATACATAATGCATGGCAGCACACATGCATACACAGACAATGACAACAACGTGAATGTCACAGAGAGATTTCTGGTTTTAAAATGGATCCTTAAACAAAAGAAGCATGCTACACTAGTGAAATAGTTGGATGACGTATCCACAGTCAATTTATTCTCTTGGAAACCTGACATCTATAATTATGTGAGACTGCAAATCCTGTTTTCAAACCATCTAGGGTCTTGATCTTCAGAATGCAACTCTTCTTTTTTTTTTTTGTCTCCACTACCAATGCCAACTTAATAAGATGAGAAAAAAAACAGCTGAAGTTGAACCTGGATGATTTCTGGTCCACCTACGGACAGCCTAAGTTGTGCCCATTTGTGGTGAGATCTAATTGGAGTTTGACAGCCAGTTCATTATGAACTGAGAAGCATAACCTAGCATATTATTGAGAGCAAGCATAACATTTAGCTGTAGCATCATGTAAACTACAGAAAATCTCAAATGAAAGACAAACTGCTTTTTCATCAAGAATGCACCACAAAAGCAACATAACATTAAGAGAAGTTTCAAACCCTTGTTACCATTAATAAGCAGTTCTTCCAGGTTATCGGGATTCCGAGCCAGCTGCAAGATGAGGGCAGAGCCACGCACCTTGTCAGGAATGTCCTCATACAGTAATTCAATGTACTCATCCATGTCATTGATATTGGCAACTTCATCAATCTGAAAGCAGTCATAAGCAACGGTGTTACAGATAAAGAGATGTTAGTTTAACACGACTGATCACAATGCTTCTCAATCACGAGACGAAAGAAAGCAGAGCTTTGAGTTCAGATATTTGGAAAGGATAAAACACTCAAAAAAAAAAATAATCAACTCACAGAATCACAGCCAACAAGCACCAGGAAATCTGAGAAGATTTAATTACAAAAAACAAAAGGATGCTCAGACATGACTCCCTGCATCCTGTCCCATATTCCAGACCTCTCTTGCTGTCCTGCTGTGTGCTACAGATGAGGAAGTATGAAAGTCACATATTTTACCCTTTATGGAGATGATTTTTCCATTGTGCAATATATCTAAACCAAGTTCTTTCTTTAAAAAGAAACACACACACAAAAAAACAAGGAAAAAACACAACTCACCACCGCACAGAATTACACATTTCCCCTCCCCACTTATAAAACCACTTTTTAGTAGTAATTTTTTTTTTTAATTACTTTTTTTTGCCTTTCTCATCTAACACCAATATTTACCTCCATGCCTTCAAATGGTGGTGGATCTTTTGGCTTACTGGATTTCTCTTTCTTTTCTATAATGAAAAGACATAATTGCAGTTAACTTACACATATTTATAGACAAAAACACATTTATTCCAAGAGTATACATTCTGGTACAATGAAGCTCAAAGTCCTCTTGCATCCAGCTGACCTGTTAGACACACAGCTACTGTGTGTCATGTTTCTGAAGCTAACCAGACCAAAAGCTGCAAAAAGAACCCTCAGATGCCTCTGACTCCTCAGTGTAAATAACCAGTTACAGCCCAGTAACTGGGAAGAAAGCAAATTATAAGCTTTAGTGCTAGTCTAGAGCAAAAAAAACTCACTTCCACAGTAAGACACTTTAATAGTTTTGAATCTGCTTGCCAATGTAGCAAGGCTGCCCTGCGACAGGCCAAGACATGTATTTTGATAGTTAAAATGACAATTCTAGCTTCCATCTGCCCTACCCCCCTCCAGACATCACTTCATGATTGTCATTTTTTTTTTTTTTTATTTTTTTTTTTTTAAGTGTGGTTTAATTACACATCTTCCCAATTTTCAGTTTGGGAGCTTGTACACCAAGCAAGTTAGGACCTCAGCTAAAGAAAACTTTGCACAGCAGTTTTTCTAACACTGAAGGACCTCAGCCTCAAGCTACCTTGTTCTTGTACTATTTACCTTTTCCTGCTGACGCATCTCTGCGATTCTGTAGATAGTACAACAGCTGTTCCACTTCTGCAAGTTTGGAGGGGTGAATGAGCTTGCATTCTTCAACCACCTTTCGAGCCAGGGAAGCAATGTCTGTATTTGCATTGAGACTCTTTAGCCGAATGCTGCAAGAGATAGAAAGGTCTCATATTTTAGATCCTTCTATCTTGGATCCTTTGACTTTACACACATCTAAGAGCTACACAAGGAAGCTTTTTTTCACAGTGCCTGCAAATCCAGTGTCAGAAGTATCTCACAGTTCTGACAGACCTACAGCAAAACTCCCACAAGCAATTATCAGTAAGAAATCTCTGTGGGTACTAACGAAAGGATGAAGCAAAAATGAATTCCAGCAAATTGCAAATATGAGTTACGCTGATTCATCTGAAACAGATGAACATGTCTGGTACCCTCAAAAACAGTTTCATGATTCTTTTCCTCTATTCTTACACACACTCACACAGGTAGTCACTTCAGCTCAAATTTTTAGAAATAATTCATGACAGAGATAAAACAAACCTAGAACTTATGACCTTACATTTTCTGACACTCTTTGCGCTCCCCCAGCATAGGGTCTCCTGTCTCCCCCAGAATCGTTGCTTCCACTTCATAGTGAACAATCAGGGCTTTCTCCGATGGATGCACATCTATGTTGCCTCCTTTTACCTTCCTGAGGAGAAAAAACAAGTTACTGATTAATTGAAAGGCTCAAAAATCATGTCAGAACATAGATCATTAAGAACAACCTGTCTCCATTTCTATATCCTCATTCCAAGCATTGTCCTCCTTCCACACCACATTTCTTCATTTCAGACAGCTGTACCAACGCTTATTCTTAAGTACTACCACTAATATGTACAGAAACACCCAAGTCAATGGCCATTCTTGGTTGAAAGAGGATTAATCTTTACAAAGATTAACAACAACAAAGAGGCATTTCATAAAGATGAATTTCCCAGATCCCTTAATCTACACTGCAAAATCTTCTGCTAATTGATCTAGTGGTACAAGAACTGCCACTTACAAGTGATAATTTTTGCTCTAAGACTAACTTAGTAGGCTTATCTAAAGCTTCACAGTTCAAATTATTTGTAATTCACTCATGATAAACTTTTAGTCTCAAATTCACTGTTGTCTCCTGAAACATAAATCCATTCACTGCTGTTCCTCACCTCATGGTGTTTGTTGCCAGGCTTAGGGGAAAACCAGACCAACAGCTGCCATCCACAGGTGTAAGTCAAGCACGTCTACCTGCTTTATTACAGCTACAGGTATTTGGGAAAAATGTTCTCCAAAGAAAGCACTGGGTTTGTCACTGACAGAAGTGTCTGACTTGCTTATTTCACCACAGTCATGCTGAGCTATGAAGGCCATGTTCTTAAGTGACAACAAAACCACATCCATAGCATACATTTACACATCTGTCTTTAGTGGTAAAGCTAACACTTATCTTTTCTTCCTTAGTACAACAGACTATGCACAGCTATGTCATTAACCAAGCTGCTAAAACACTGCAGGTGAAAAAACCACTTGTAATGTGGGTTGGTTTTTGGTTTTGATTCGTTGTGGTGTTTTTGGCTTTTGCTGTTATGTTTTTAATACAACTTATGTTTTATGAGATCTACAGGTGACTTTGCAAGCATTGTTAAGTCAGGTGGCAGCTAGTGGTGGCATAGGGTCAATCAGATCAAGGAAGATTTGTTATGCCTCACAGACCTAAAAATGTTAGTAAACCTGGATGTAGCCTTCGGTGTAACCACTCAACAGAAAAAGTTTGGAAGGCATGCCTTCTTTCATTCAGTAGTTATGGTGTCTGCTTTTCCTTCCGCAGAGATGCAACTGCAAAAAGTACTTGCTTCTTGAGATTTTCACAGCCACCCAAATAACCCTGCAAAGGACCACTGTGGGAAGGAAAGCACAGTTCAACCACAAGCTTTACAAAGACATAAAACTACAGGGCAAACAAATACAGCCCACTGCTGAAAAACAACATCCTCCTTGAGGAGACTGGAGCAAAACTCCATTTATCACTTAACACTTCTGAAGAGATTTGTGTTTTCATTTAATGGTATTTCGGAGCAGATGCTCCATGTCAGGCTGTTCTCATATAGAAGCCTCATGAGGTTCAGACTTCTGAAAGCAAAAAGCTTGTGGGAATCTATTTCAAAAGAAATCAACACCCTCTCTTTACTCCTAGACGTATTTCCCCCATATTTACACATACCAGAACATCCTAACCACAAATGCTCCTCTTGACAGACAAACCCCTATTAAGTGATGGCTAGGTCATTTACATAGATATAAAGAAAAGGTTGGGTGGTGAACAAGCAGACCTGAAGGAGCAGTGTATACAAGAACTAACCTGAAATAGCAACTTATCACTGCAAAAAGAATTTGATCTTCCCATGGTTTCCCTGCTCCCAGCAGTCACTTTAGTTCAACACAAGCAAACCCCTTCACAGCCTCTTCCAGCAGATTAACAGAGAACTCATAATGTTTTGGGCAGCAGGAGATTTTCCACGTGTTACTCAATTAAAGTGCTACATAAAAACGGAATAACAATTTCTAGCTATGAGCAGGGATAAAAATGAAGGCAGGAGATCTCCTTTTGGCAGCAGTAAGCCACCGATGAGCTTAGTTACCAGCAGAATCTCAGCCTAAGACTGCTTAAACAGTTTTAACATTTCCTGTTGTTTTTTTTTTTCCTTCCCTTCCTTAAGAGGGACAGATGGGTAAGCTAAAGAACATACAGCTGCAGAGATTTTGTCCTCACATCCTGATAACCACCCTCACTGAGCTACTTCCTGGCTGTATGATTCACAAATCAATTCACATTCAATCTCTTCCTCTGAAATGCTTAAAAACCTACACTGAAATGCATCACACTAAAATTGCATACTGTTTGGAGACGACTGTATACAGAATGCCAGCACCACAAAAAGTATATTTATGTAAAGACCCCCTCTTCCACTCCTAATGAACAAACATCTGCTTTAGTGATTTTTCTATCCATCTTGAGTTTGCAAGCACCTAATAACTTCATAAACCAACTGAGCATACAGATGTTCTGCTAGAAGCAGCAATGCACCAGGGAGTGTGCACACATCAGTTTGTCCTCCCCTTCATTGCCTGCTTTGTCAACTAGAATCCTACTCTATCCAAGTTTTGAAAGGAGGAAGGCCTTTTCTACAAAGCAGTGCCAGCTGAGCTCACATAACCAAAGCTGGTGCATGAATGCACATTATGGACTGATTCCTTTGGGGGGGGGGGAAAGCAAAATCAAACTATCCTAATTAAAAGTGGCACAAACCACACACGTGGTTAAAGCTGAAAATCCAGTAACAAATCCTTGCATGTCTGACACGGTAGGAGGAGGACTAAGCAAGGAGGATGACAAAGGGAAACAGAGATCAGAGAAACACTGGACTTGCACACAAGCCTTGTCACGTTAAACAGCACAGCAGCTGTTTTTTGGTTCGTGTTCCCTAAAACAATAAAATGATGCTTATCACAGTGGTAACTACAAAAGAAGATTCCTGCAAGGTCACGTAAGGTGGCACAGAGCATGCAAAGCTAGAAATGGGCACTGCTATGAAATCACAGCTGTTTGATACAGGCAGCCCTTTGATTTGTACCTGTTTTCACATGTACAGGAGAGCATTAATGAGTGTCAAAGATTATTGAGAGGTTTTTTTCCCCACCACTTCCAATTAAGAGTCTTAATATGTGACATATCAGGGAAAAAAGCAAAACCCAGACAGCCTAACAAGATCTGCAAACGCTGCTGAACACCACGGAAAAGAAAGGAAAAAAAGGACAAGGAACTCCATCAAATTCAAGATGAGATGGATAACATCACTCACACAGTGGGAGAAAGCAACACTGTTCACAAACCAAGCCTAAAGGAGGCCTTGGAGTCGTGACATCTGTGGGTTTGCCAGCCAGTGCTTCTGCTCTACAACAACAACACTGATCCTATAGTTCCCCAACCAGACCCTACGCTGTAGTCTGACTGGCCTCACTGCCACACAAGATAAGAGCCATCAATCCCTTAGGATCATTACCCACCTGCTACCTTTCTCAGCCATTCTATCCCCACCCAGCTCCCCTTCACCCCTCACCAGCCGCTCCCTCAGCACCCCAGACACCCCAAAACGCCGCCAGTCACCCCAACCCGGGGCACCCCTCCAAATCCTCCCTCCCACCGATTTCCACCAGCCTGCCACCCACCTCATTCATTCCCCAGCAAAACCCGGCTGGGTGCCCATGAGTGTCCCACAGCCCCCCTACCACCACCACTCGACCCCCTTCCTACCCACATACAAAGCAACCTCCCCCACAGCTTCATCCTCACCGCAGCCCCCCACCCCAGCCTGGCTCCCAACGACACCAGCACGGCACCCCGCGGTGCCTCAGCAGCACCGCCGCCTCCACCACAGCGTCCCGCGCCTCGTTTCCTCAGCACCTCCCCCACCACCACAACAGATCGCCGCCCCCACCCGCTCTCCCCGAGCGCTCCAGCCGCTTCTCCCGCTTTACCTCTTGAGGTACCGGGCGTCCTCGCCCTGCATGGCGGCGGGGACGGCTCGGGCAGGGCGCGGCCCCGCAGCGGTGCTGTTACCAGGGTGAACGCGAGCCCCGCCCCGCGGCCCTTCAGTGCGCAGGCGCCGCCGCCGCCCGCGGAGGGCGGGTGAGCGCGCATGCGCAGTGCTGTAGCCCGGCTGCGTGTGGCGGGGCGGCCCCTGAGGCGTGAGGCTGCCCTTTCCAACCTTATTTGCTTTTTAAAAGTAGGAACGCGTTCTCGCGTCGCTGAGAACACTTGCCATTATGCAAAAAGCGTAATTCAGATTGTTTTTCTCCTCAAAACGTGGCTAAGTGCCCTTAACCTACACAGAACCAGCATACCAGCCAGCAGCTCTTTGTGTGGGAGCAGCACCCAACGCGTGCCTCAGTAGCTTTGTTTTATTTCTTCATATCTGTTCTCTCAGTGATCACGATGGTAATCCAGTTTGATGCTCAGCCTAATTCTGAAGTTGTTTTCACGGTCTGTGATGAGCCCTGTGTGGCCTTTAGTATATAACTGAGGTAAATGCCATTGGGTTGCTTGAAAACTGCATTGAATCCCAGCATCATCACAGAAAAAAAAGAAAGTAACTAAAGAAGCAACATTGCCTTCCTATAGAAAGTTTATTAGAATCAGTTCTTCCCTTCAGAAATTAAGAAACACACCCTAAGGTTTGTAATCTCTCCTTAAAAGATTGCATCTGCCTCTTAAATAGAAGAAGGTGTGGATTTCAAGGGAAAAAAATAGTGAATTTGCAGACATCTTACACCCCCCCCTAAAAATGAACTGTGTGTAAAACTCCACAATGCCTTTTATTAGCTGAAAGAAATCACAGAAATCTGAAAGGATGACTCTCAGAGTAAATATTTTAGGTGATTATGCTGTGCCACCCAGGGGACACATATGTTGGTTTGATGTGCTGCCCCATAGGAAGTGGTTGAGGCATGGAGGTAATAAACATCGGGCTCTACTTTCATATTGGAAGTAGAATGAGGAAAATTAAAACCTGCTATGCAATGGGAATATCTGGTGCAGCTCTTCCTGATGAAATGAATTTCGGGACACAGGTTCTGGAATGCCTCTTTGATCAGCAGTGACAAGGCTGTCTACACAAGCAAAGGACACTGCCAATGAAACACGTGAGTACTCTTCCTATCCTTGAAAGAGAGACTTGACAGAAGTGAAAACAAGAATTTCTGCAGAGAGCTTGATTTATCTTTTTTACATTATCTAATATCAATGCTGACTTCAGTAAATGCATCAATTTGCAGCTCATTTATACTAGTGGGGAGAATTAGCTGTAGGTTTGGGACATTAAAAAAAAATACTTAAACATGTGAAAAGAAGCAGGCCTCTTTGTAGAGATGCAGAGTTTTCTTTTAATTAGACACTACTGAGCAAAGTTCTCTCTCAGCTTATTCAAATCAGATTGCTCAATCCCAGGAAAGCAACTTCATTTGATGGCCTTGTACTCTTGCTTACTGGGCTGAGCAATTACACTGAGTTGGTGGTAAAGTGACCTCTACCCACCTTATGCCCCAGCGCTCCTCAGCAGGAGTGTCACAGACTCTGTGGTTGCACCCCTGCACAAGCCTGCAAAGCAGGAATACAGTCCCTATGTTCAGCCAGAGTTGGTGATGTGGAAAGCAGTCATTTTGTAGAGTTCATTGCTTGATGTGAGATCTTAAGGTTGCTACTTCTAAAAACATACTACTTAACTCATGTCCTAAGCTGATCAAAACGTGTTGGAATTTATAAGATTTACCACAATGGTACTAAATACCTTATTTTTCCCCCTAAAAGGTCAGCTCTGAGAGAATTTTGCTGTGAGGCACACACAACTGAACAACAGATTGTACTTTTTCAGTATGCTCTCTCTGTTGTATACTAGAACTTGTGTATTTGATTTCTGCTTATTTTCTGATGCACAGCCTGAAATGTCATCCTTATCCAAACAGCCAATTATGTGCTTTCATTTTCTGTCATTTTAATTGCACTAAAGAAAACAGCTTCAATATATAACAGTGTACAATAACAAACAGATTGTTTTTCTTTTTATATTGTCCAATGGGTCACTGTGACAGTGTTGCAGATTGCTTACTTTAAATCTACTTCCTTTAACATCAATGAGAATTTTATTATTGACCCCAATGGGCACAGAATTGTACCTCTCAACATTTATTAAATGCAGTGGGCAGAAAGCAGGCTCATGGTTATAAAGGCCATGGCATTTTATGGTTTTGACTCCGCAACCACTCAAGCACATGCTTAATTTTGCCACAGTAATAAAAGTTAAATGCCAGCTTACATGTTTGCAACGAGTCTCCCTTACACTTGGAACAAGCCTACATTAGAACATAAATCAGGAATTCCCCCCTTTCTTCATCACCCCCTCCATAAGGAAATGGATTTTAAGTATGATCATCAAATTATTTACTCCCTAAAATGCCATGGTTTTCAGATCTTGTCAAAAAGAGAGAGGACAGAGGAAGAGTAAGGAATGGGTACCTTAGCAGAAACATTGTCAGGTGTCAATTGACTTGAAACAAGTTACTCATTCTAATACTTTCAAAAGGGGAATTTCAGTTTCCAATATTTACTATGAATTTCAGACAGTGACCTTTATCTTTAAAATAAAGTGAAGATTTCACAGAATGTTTTATGTGCAAGATCTTTTTAATTAAGGCAAGCCTGCAAATAACAAAAATCATGTTATTAGATTCCACTTAATTTTAACCAAAGCACATGAAAAACACAGCAGCAACAAACACACTTATGCTAGGTTAATTCAGGCCCAAAAGCAAGTATTAAAATTTTAAGAGGATAGCACTTAACCAGTGGAATAACTTTCCATAGCATTCACAATCAGAAACATCCCCATTATCGTCAGCCTTTATGTCAGAAGATGATAGCTAGGCTTCAGCCTAAGTCACTCATGGCTTCATAGCAAGTAGTGCTTGAAGCAATCTCTTTCAGTCTATACTCTTCCCCAGATGAAATACTTCCTATCTGAAATGCTACAATAGGATATTAATAGGGTTGTAAAGTTTTTAGATATATCAAATCAGAACATGCTCAAAAACAGCAGCCACAAATGCTGAAATAAAAGAAAAGAGCTACTTACCTATAAAAGGCCTCAGATATGCAGAAACCCTCACCTCCACTGCCAACCCTTAAATGAAGTCTGGGAAGGGGTGGATCCTGGCTCCAGCCCTTCCATCACTCAGGTTCATTGCACACACCTGAGCTCCCCTGGGTCAGCCCTGCCTTCCCACCAGGTGTTCAATCACGGCTTCAGGCCGTCACTCTGCTATAGCACCTGTGTTCTTTTTTATCACTAGTACCACCTCTAGTGATGGACATTTTAGTCTTCCTGGGGAATCTGTTACATGGCTAAATTGCCATTATTGCAATAAAACCTTTTTCTCCCTCTTGTTCGTATCAAAACTACTTGGCCCATATTTGTCCTGAAGAGCCATATCCAAACCTGGATACAGTAGCTCAGCTGAAGGCTTTCCTATCTTTCAGCTAAAAGTAATAACAGGTGTAGCAGAAATGGTGAGACACAACTTGAAGCAGTGATTGAACACCTGATGGGAAGGCAGGGCCAACTCAGGGGAGCTCAGGTGTATGCAATAAACCTGAGTGACCAGAAGAGAACCTTCCCAGACCTCATTTCACAGAATCACAGAATCACTAAGGTTGGAAAAGACCTATAAGATCATCCAGTCCAACCATCCACCTATCACCAATGGTTCTCGCTAAACCATATCCCTCAACACAACATCCAAACGTTCCTTGAACACCTCCAGGGTCGGTGACTCCACCACCTCCCTGAGCAACCTATTCCAGTGCCTGACCACCCTTTCAGAGAAGTAGTATTTCCTAATATCCAGCCTGAATCTCCCCTGGCGCAGTTTGAAACCATTCCCTCTAGTCCTATCACCAGTTACACAAGAGAAGAGGCTGACCCCCAGCTCGCTACAACCTCCCTTCAGGTAGTTATAGAGAGCAATAAGGTCTCCCCTGACCTCTTCTTCTCCAGACTGAACAATCCCAGCTCCCTCAGCCGCTCCTCATAAGGCCTGTGCTCCAGACCCCTCACCAGCTTTGTTGCCCTTCTTTGAACACGCTCCAGGGCCTCAATGTCTTTCTTGCAGTGAGGGGCCCAGAACTGGACACAGTACTCAAGGTGCGGCCTCACCAGAGCTGAGTACAGGGGAACAATTACTTCTCTACTCCTGCTGGTCACACTACTTCTGATACAAGCCAGGATGCCATTGGCCTTCTTGGCCACCCAGGCACACTGCTGGCTCATGTTTAGTCGAGCGTCAACCAACACCCCCAGGTCCATTTTCTCTACACAGTCTTCCAGCCACTCCGCCCCAAGCCTGTAGCGTTGCTTGGGGTTGCTGTGGCCAGAGTGTAGGACCTGGCATTTAGTCTTATTAAACCTCATCCCATTGGCTTCAGCCCAGCTCTCCAGCCTGTCCAGATCCCTCTGTACGGCCTCGCTACCCCCAGGCAGATCAACACTTCCAGCCAACTTGGTGTCATCTGCAAACTTACTGAGGGTGCACTCAATGTCCTCATCCAGGTCATCAATAAAGATATTGAAGAGGACAGGCCCCAGCACCGACCCCTGGGGAACACCGCTCGTGACCGGTCGCCAGCTGGATTTAGCTCCATTGACCACCACTCTCTGGGCCCGGCGCTCCAGCCAGCTCCTTACCCAGCCAAGAGTGTACCTGTCCAAGCCACGGGCTGCCAGCTTCTGCAGGAGAATACTGTGGGAGACAGTGTCAAAGGCCTTGCTGAAGCCTAGGTAGACTACATCAACAGCCTTTCCCTCATCCACCAGGCGGGTCACTAGATCATAGAAGGAGATCAGGTTGGTCAAGCAGGACCTGCCTTTCGTGAACCCATGCTGGCTAGGCCTGATCCCCCGGTTGTCCCGCACTTGCCGCGTGATCTCCCTCAAGACAATCTGCTCCATAACCTTCCCTGGCACTGAGGTCAGGCTAACAGGCCTGTAGTTCCCTGGGTCCTCCTTACAGCCCTTCTTGTAGATGGGAGTCACAATTGGCAAGCCTCCAG